TTTGTATGCATTATCCAGCAAAACCTCTACTAATGACCTGGATCCACCTTGGCCCCTTTGCATTTCTTGGAAGATAAAGACCCATGGCCCATTACATCGGTTATTTTCATCTTGAAAGATTCCTGACTGGTAGTGAAATGTACTGAGCTTTCCAATTTAACACTGCCCACTTAAAATTTTATCTTTCTGTAACATACAGGCACAGAATACACTAAGCAGTTATAGGGTATATAATTCCTATGTGCCCAAGGTCAGGTTCCCCCAAAGTGCTGATGGAACAAAGACCAGAAACTGAGTGACAACCTACTGAGAGACCATGACTTAGAATCTCTGACCTCAGTCATATGTGATCTCGATGTTACTCCTAATGAAAATTATTAGATTTAATTTATCAAACGTGAGATTTTTGGTAAAATGACTATTTTTTTTGTTTTTGTTTTGTAGTACTAATGATTGGACCCAGGGACTTGCAAAGCACTCCCCAATGAGTTACATCCCCAGCCCAGGACTCTTTTTACTCAAAGATGTAAAGATCAGTATCCTACATAAGACCAGTTGGGAACTTTTGGCTTCATTCACATCCACTGTTTTTTAACTCAGAGTTTGAGGTAGGGGATGTGGTGTAAATGAACATACCCTTTTCATGGCTAATGCTGATACCCTGCATTTCCAATAACAATGCTTATTGAGTACTCTGTAAGGCCTTTCTTCATACTTTAAGCTGCATCAATACTTCTGAGTTACTTTTAAAAGTTATAGGTTACAGTTTATGATTTATATAACTATCATTATCCTTAATAGTAATAACATCACTTATTGAACAACTACTGTGTGCACTGTGCTATGCATAGTGGCATGTCCGATTTAATATTCCACAAAACCCCATGAAATAGGCATAGTGAGTGCCATTTAATAAGCAGGGAAACTAAGGTCCATTGAGGTGCACTGACCTGCAGCCTGCTGATAGTCGTCCAGGCAGTAAACAGCAGTGCTCCCTGTCCTCCACAGGTGTGCTGGGCTCTAAAGGCCATGGCTGCTCTCAGCACCCTGCAGTGGCTGCTCCCAGTTTAACTTCTTGTTGATCTTTAGCAGCCCATTGAAGTGTGTGTGTATGTCACATCCACAGCTAGAAAGCACCTAGCTCAGTCATGTAGCGGGCACAATGATAAACGTACCAGAGACCCCTGCAGATCCCCATCTCCTCCTCGGTGCTCTGATGCAAGGCAAGAAGAAATACTAGGAGACAGGGAACTGGGATGGCCAGTGCTGAACAAGAAGCAACAACGACCCTGGTCACCCAGAACCGCAGACATTTATTGGTGACACAATCATTAAATTAGGGTAAGGGGACTATGTTTGGTTCCTTGGGATATGTTGCTGATGCAGGCAAGACTTGTAAAAGATAAGACAAAGCATCCTTGTATTAGGAACAGAACAAATAACCTTGTCTTTTTAGTTAAGGAGATTTTAATTCTGGGAGCAGAATTTGAGTGTGAGTCACCCTAACCTTGGCTGCCATGTTATCTCATATTGAGTCCCACAGCTTCATGGGCCATTTCTCTGGCCTCTGCTGTGGCCATTGGCAGAGGTAAGGGGTGGGGGCACTGACCTGCACGCCATCTGCAATGCTTCTATGACACATGTAGGCTTTGGCCAGGCTCACTGTAAAACAAGCCAATAGTGAGGTTAACACTTTACAGCCTGTACTGCTGACAGCCTGCCTTGGGCATAATCAATGGGGCAGTCTCCAAAATAAACTGACTTTGCTCATTGTTCAAAGTAGCTGAAATGTTAAAGGGATGGTAGGTCGAATATCTGCGAGGCAGGTGGCAGAACCACTGAGATGAATCCCCAGCCCTAAGGTCAAATATCTGAAGGTCAAGGACATGCAAACTCACCTCTCGTGCAGAACTGACTGGAGGAAATCAGTGGTCTTCGATATGGAATGACCAGTTGAAAAGCACTTTTTCTTGCTGGGCGTGATGGCACACAACCATAATCCCATCTGCTCTGGAGTCTGAGGCAGGAGGATGACAAGTCTGAGCCCAACTTGGGCAATTTAGCAAGAATGTACCTTGAAATAAAAATGAAAAGGACTGAGGTAGCTCAGTCAGTGCAGTGCCAGGCCCTGGCTTCAGTGCCCAGTACCATCAAAAAAATTTTTTTCATTCTCTCCTACTCAGAGGAAGGGTTGAGACAGGGCCAAAGGGACCACTGGTAAAGCAACAGGAAAAAAGGAAAGGCAGTCTCCCATCTCTGACTTCCTGCTCTTAATTAGGAACTGTGCTAGATGCACAGGTCAGCTCCTACTATTAATCCTTCGTGGTAGTTAGTGGAGTCCTGTCATACTTCAAAAATAGAAACCACAGCTAAGGGTCACAGAAGCTCATCAGAGGCACCTGAGGAATCACTGGGACTGGTTCCATCCTCTGGAAGCTTGTGAACAAAAGCCTGCACAAGGGTCGTCCCAGGCCCACTTCACACTTCTCAGAGGATGTGTTTATTTGCTGGTCAGCTGTAATGCGTAGAAAAGTCTTCCTGGTGCTGGAGCCAATTGGTGGGTTTTCTTGACTTCTGCCCTGCATCCCTGCTGCCTCCTCCCGGAACCCCACCAAGTCTTCTGTATCTCTCTCTCTCTCTCTCTCTCTCTCTCTC